TGGATTCCTCTAGTATTTTTATGGTTTCCCATCTTATGTTTAAGTCCTTTATCCATTTTGAGTTTATTTTTGTGTATGGTGTAAGTTGGTGGTCTAGTTTCATTTTTTTTGCATGTATCTGTCCAATTTTCCCAACACCATTTATTGAAGAGGCTGTCTTGACTCCATTGTATGTTCATGCAGGGAGGTCAGAGCAACTCCAATTAGGTGTGGAATATTATTGAAGAGGAGGAAAGCCCTAATCAGTAATCTCCCAAAGACTGTTGGCAGAACCTCTGCATACACCTGAATTTAAGCAAATACTAAGGCAGTAGCTTCTGCAGGAACAGTTTCCCTATACTCAGTGTGTCAGATACAGCAGTGCCTTTCAAAAGGTGCCTAATGTTCATCAGGGATTTGAGGATACTGCCTTTTTTCTGATTTAGAGTTTGCTCATTGTAGAAAATTGAGAAAAAGATATTTAAGGTTGTTATAAAATGCCACCATCTGGAGAAAACTACATCTAGTATTTGGTACTTAGATTAGGATTATATGGTATGTATTTATTACAGTACATCTATAACTTTCTATGTCAAATTTATACATCTATATTTTTTAAAAGTTGCTTTTAATTATTAAGTTGTCTAAAAACTATAATGTTGAGAAGAAACAACAAAAGTTCCTGCCTATCTGCTAGAGTGTTTTTCTGCTTTTCTGTTTTAATTTTTAAAGTGGCCAAAGAAATAAATGAGTTTTTCGAGTATCATAGCAGTATTTGTCAGGGAAAAATATCAGCAGCAGCGTATTTATAAGGCATGGATTATAGTCCGGAATATTGCAGGGTTTATGAGCTGGTGACTCTCTTCACTACATTAACTGAACTCATTAGTGAAACCAAGTTTTAAGGGCAAGCTTAATTTGTTTTTAAAAATGGGGTTTTAAAACATTGAAACACATTTCAATTATCACAGTTATTGGCAATTAATCATTTGGTACTTAAGGACAAGTTATAAATATTCAGTCTGAATTAAAATCCATTGAAGTGAGTTTTAACTCATTTATATAAGAGAAGGAGTGAAACAGTCTTAGTTCAAAGATCTCTCAAGGTATAGTTAAACCTCCTTAAAAAAAAAAGGGCAGTGTAATTTTAAAGGGCTGGCATTTCCCTCCTTTTGAGGTCCTGGAGAAATATTATTTCCTGGAGTCAGTGTTAGGTGCTTAGAAAGTAGAAAAGGTTAAAAAGGAGATTCAATTAGAATTAGAAGCATTTGGTGAGGACTTTTCCCTCCAAAACAGAAGTTTTAACTTCTCCTTCAACAGAAGATATGAAAATATTTTCCATGTATTATATTCATTTCCCAATCCTGGGGCTACACGATCTCCATAAAAGTTATTTAAATGACCCAGTTTGAAGCCCTTTCCCTAGAGAAATCTTTCTATAGATCTCCACACTTCCAATTTCTCTCATGTGCTATTAAGCTAAAACATTCCAAGCTGCCTTTTGTTTTTCACATGACCCCCTATACTCTTTCCTACAAAACTCTTCTCAGAACTGGCATGGTGGAGAGTCATCCTGTATACCAAAAGGTTGCGGGTTTGATCCCTGGTTGGGGCACGTGTCTCTCTCTCTCTCTCTCTCTCCTCTCTCTCTTTAAAAAAAAAAGGGCAGTGTAATTTTAAAGGGCTGGCATTTCCCTCCTTTTGAGGTCCTGGAGAAATATTATTTCCTGGAGTCAGTGTTAGGTGCTTAGAAAGTAGAAAAGGTTAAAAAGGAGATTCAATTAGAATTAGAAGCATTTGGTGAGGACTTTTCCCTCCAAAACAGAAGTTTTAACTTCTCCTTCAACAGAAGATATGAAAATATTTTCCATGTATTATATTCATTTCCCAATCCTGGGGCTACACGATCTCCATAAAAGTTATTTAAATGACCCAGTTTGAAGCCCTTTCCCTAGAGAAATCTTTCTATAGATCTCCACACTTCCAATTTCTCTCATGTGCTATTAAGCTAAAACATTCCAAGCTGCCTTTTGTTTTTCACATGACCCCCTATACTCTTTCCTACAAAACTCTTCTCAGAACTGGCATGGTGGAGAGTCATCCTGTATACCAAAAGGTTGCGGGTTTGATCCCTGGTTGGGGCACGTGTCTCTCTCTCTCTCTCTCTCTCTCTCTCTCTCTCTCTCTCTCTCTCTCCACCCCCTCTCTCTCCCTCCTCTCTCTAAACATATCCTTGGGTGAGGATTAAATTTTTTTTTAAATCTCTTCTCAGCACATCCCACCCCTTTGCTCTAGTGGTCCCAGCTTTCTGTTTTCTTGGGCCTTTTCTGTTTCTCCTCACATGCCTTCCTTTCAGGCCGTCCCTTAAACTTCTCATATTGTTCTGCCGCCTCCTAGTTCAGAACCCACTGCACAATGTATAAACCATCCAGTGATGAGAGATCTGCCTGTTCTAAGCAAAACAAACTAATCGCCACTTCACTTATTATGTGTTAAATTTAGGAGCAGTACATATCTTACATGTCATCATGGAATAAATAAAGGCCATTGTTTTTGTTTTTAGTTTTCTACAGTTCCTGCTTAAATTGCTACTGTGTAACCCATCATGATTGAAGCATCATCCTTGATACTTTTGAATCTGCTGTGTGTTCAGCCATGCAGGGCAATTGGTTGGGTCATGATCTACAATAGCAGATCGCCGGTCTCCTCCTCTATGTCTTCACTTGTATTAGGATGTGGACAATTTAGGTGGGAACGTGGGATGAGTTAATATTGCTCAAGACTAAAAACTTTCTCTACTTTCTAACTTATTTTATTTTCTCTAACTCAGCTACATTTCCACTTATAGATCCAGCCAAAAAGTTGTCCACAACTCCTCTTGACAAGGTCTTGTTTCAGATGAACCTTAACTAAAAAACATTCTCTGATACTTGTAGGAATCCGACCAGGCTGGTCAAATGGGAGGCTCTGTGCGAGGACCCCCCAGGCTTCCACCAAGGTCAGTGTGGGAAAGCTTTTAAAAAGTATGAGAGCAGCTAGTGCCTCAGAGACTGGACTCCCCTTTCTGTCATCAAAACTGAGTGCTGTTGGCCTTAGATATTCTTTTAGAGATACATTTTAAACTCATGAATTCACCCAGGCCACTAGCCTACAGTCTGCTCTGACAGCAGGTTGTAGGAATCTCTGCTGCTTCTTTGAACTCAATCCCCAAAACTCACAGAACACAAACAGATCTCTATTACTTTTCCTCCAACAAACAAGACTCCTTTCTGGACCTGGAACAACTCCACTTCTGGAAGGAACACACACTCGCACACCTATACACTCGTACTCTCACTCTCACACTGTCACCCACTCCCCGTTATGAGGAACCGTGGTGACCTGCCTGCCCGAGTTCCAGGGCTATTGGAACAAAAAGCTGTGATACTATCAGAAGCTATTCCTATGTTACAAATTATTTTTATCATAGGGATTAAGGAAAGGTTTTCAAAGTAATGGTTGTCCTAGCTCATTTTCAAAACAGCTTTCTTTATATTAATCTAACCCAGAGTTAGAATAGTAATTCCTATAACATGAATATTAGGGTAGTTTGATGTTCCTTTCCTAATCATGAACTAGATCACATCACATATACCTGACATCTTATTGTAAGCTTTTCATCTCAGACTTTGGTAGAATGTGCTTAGTTTCCTGAAACAGTCATGGTGTGTTTACGAGCAAATGGGGCATTAGTGAGCTCATGATAGTAAATGCTTGTTTGTCTTGAACTAATGAATCTCTAGTGCAGGATGAGAGGAAGCTGGAACATCGACATTTCCTCTAATAATATAATGTTTAATGCAGCAGCCATTTGCTCAGAAATAGCATACCCTGCATGTTTAGGTAATTGTATTGTACTAGCAGAAAGCTGTGCGCGCGCGCGCGCGTGTGTGTGTGTGTGTGTGTGTGTGTGTGTGTGTGTGTGTGTGTGTGTGTGTGTGTGTGTGGGGGGGGGGGGGGGGTGGGGGCAAACAGAACCTAATGTTGATCAAACACTGATTCACAGCTCCCACCTTGCCTTTCAGACCTATAAATGGAAAAGTCACACCAGCTCGACAGCCTCCTCCCAAGGGGGCCCCTGAAAGACCACCTCCCCCGAGAGTTTCTGCAACCAGAACATCAAATAAAAAACTACCTTTGAATCGGTCTTCTTCTGACATGGATCTTCAGAAAAAGCAAAATAATGTGGCTTCCAGACTCACAAAAACCAAGAGTCAATTTTTTAAAAGTGAAGATCCAGTGCTACCCCCTCGCCCTAAACCAGGACACCCTCTCTACAGGAAATACATGGTAAATTTAGCTTTTAAAAATGTTAGTGGTCAAGAGGTTTGTCCTAAAGTAATATATAAGATCCATTATTCCTTACAGCAGCGGTTCTCAACCTGTGGGTCGTGACCCCTTTGGGGGTCGAACAACCCTTCCACAGGGGTCGCCTAAGACCATCAGAAAACACATATATAATTACATATTGTTTTTGTGATTAATCACTATGCTTTAATTATGTTCAATTTGTAACAATGAAAATACATCCTGCATATCAGATATTTACATTACGATTCATAAGTAGCAAAATTACAGTTATGAAGTAGCAACGAAAATAATTTTATGGTTGGGGGTCACCACAACATGAGGAACTGTATTAAAGGGTCTCGGCATTAGGAAGGTTGAGAACCACTGCCTTAGAGGAAGATGATGAGACAGATGTGGACTTGATCCTTGACCTTAAGAGTTCTTTAGATAAGTAGTCCATAATAAAACCTAGGTCTTTAAAGCAGGGTTTTATTAGGAGAAATAGAGGAATAGGAGGCAGTGCAGACAGGAATTGAACAAACAGCAACTCTAAGAAACCTGACCAGTAAGTTACACTAATGGGTTTTTATAAAATCTGACAGATTTTATAGTTTATATACCTTGCCCACAGAGTAAAAATTTAAAATAAAATAGAAAGAAAGGACTTATTAAGGTGAATGATTTTTCCCCTTTTGTAAACATAATTATCATGGGCCATTTAATTGTTACCAGTTAGAAGCTTTCATTAATAATTGGAATAGCTGAGGTATTAATTTGGTTCTTTTATGAATATTTTTCTCATCATATGACCTTAAACCTTTGGCTGCATTTTCCATACTTAAAAACAGAGTTGATGTGCTCTTACCACTTTGGTTTGGCTAACCTGATAAAATCTAAGACAAATAAAAATAGGGAGCTGTGGGGGTAAAGGGGGGAGAATTGGGAGGTATCTGTAATACTATCAACAATAAAAAAATATATATTTAAAAAAAATAGAGAGCCCTGGCCAGTGTGGCTCAGTTGGTTGTGCATCCTCCCATGCACCAAAAAGTCACCTGCCCAGTAGGGGTTGTACAGGAGGCAGCTGATTGATATTTCCCTCTCCTTTCCTCTCTCTCTGAAATCAATAAAAACATGTTTTAAAAAATAGGGAGATCAGGACTGTTTGTACTTTTTTTTTACTGATTGATTTTTAAAGAGAGAGAAAAAACATACCTTGACTTGTTGTTCCACTTATTTATGCATTCATTGGTTGTTTCTTGTATGTGCCCTGACCAGAGATCAAGCCTTGGCTTATCGGGACAACACTCAACCCACTTAGCTATCCGGCCAGGGCCTGTTTGTACTTTTTAAATAATTGCATGACAGTAGCTTTTATCAAGAACAGCAGCTAATAATTTTATATTGTGCTACATTTCCATCGTTGAGCCAGAAATTACTTTCACTTTAAGCCATATAGGGTTTTATAAAATTTTCCTTGGATAGATAAGAAAGACGGAGTGTATTCACATATACTCATATTCATTTAAATTGATGACATTTTTAATTGCTAAAACCCAGAAGTATTATTTGGGTTAGGTTATTTAAAAATAATGCCTGATGTATTGTGCACTTATTATGGACCAGGTATTGTTCGAAGCACATTATGTATGTTAAATAACTCATTTATTCCTCACACCAACCCTGTGAGGTAGATACTACTATTATCTCTATTATACAGATGAAGAAAATAGTACACAGAGCCATCAAGTAACTGTAGGGGTAAAGGGGTGGAAATGGGAGATATCTGTAATACTATCAACAATAAAAAATATATTTCGTTTTATTTATTACTAGAGGTCCGGTGCACAGATTTGTGCACCGGTGGGGTCCCTCGGCCTGGCATGTGGGGATTGGGCCAAAACCGGCTCTCCAACATCCCCCGAGGGGTCCCGGATTGCGAGAGGACGGTTCTCAGGTGACGCACCCCAGAATCGAGCTCCCTCCTCTTTGGTTCCAGGTGCGTCACCCGAGAACCGTAGCTGCCAAGTCACCACAGCTCGGCAGCTGCTGCATTGAGCGTCTGCCCCCTGGTGGTCATTGTGCATCATAGCTACCAGTTGGGCAGTTGTACGGTCTGGCAGTCACTTAGGCTTTTATATATATAGATTTTTTTTTTTTATTGATTTCAGAGAGGAAGGGAGAGGGAGAGAGAAAAACATCAATGCTGAGAGAGAATCATTGACTGGCTGCCTCCTGCACGCCCTCCACTGTGGATCAAGCCTGCAACCTGGGCATGTGCCCTTAACTGGAATCGAACCCAGGACCCTTCACTCCGCAGGCCAATACTCTATCCACTGAGCCAAACCAGCTAGGGCTAAAAAATATATATTTTTAAAAAATAGGGAGCAAAGCTAGTTAATGGTGGAGCCAGCTTTTGAACACAGATCAACTGACTCTGAGCCCATGCTCTTAACCATTATGCCATACTATGGAAATAGTACTTATGGTTCTTAGCATAGCCATGTAATGTCAATAAAGCATTCGAAGAATCAAATTAATAAATTTAAAATAATGGTATGTTAGAGGAGTATGTCTCATTATGAAATAATTTCTTAAATTCCTCATTTTTTCCAAGGCTACCTTGCCATTAAGTTGCTAACCAGGAACCTGGGTACATTGGGAGCCCTGGGACTCTGACATAAATGCTAGGAAGCATCAGTACCTAACCCCTCGCACTCTGCATCTTTGCTCCTGAGTGATGGAGGGGCCCAAGCAGCCCCTTTGCTTGTTGAAAGTGAGCTTGTGTGATCACATTCCCTGGGAAAGCCTTTATATTGTAAAGGCCTCTGACCTGTACTCACCAGCCAAAACTGACCATGGCAGGGAACAGAGTCCCCTGGCCAGGGCTGGGTACAGATATAAAAACCATTCTAAAATGAGACAGAGCTGAGTGAACCAGGAAGTGACGAGTCAGGCAATGAACTGGGTTTAAGTAGACGCTTTGTGGCAGAGAAGCTTTGTAAGATGAGATTCAAAGCAAATGAAGGAGTCATTAGCCCGTAGAGGAGCTGCCCGCCCCCATCAGCCTTCAGAAGACAACAGCCATTGAGAACCCTTACTCAAAGGCAGGTCTTTATAGGCTGTGAGCTCAGGTGCTGAGTATTTATCCTTCAAGCACCAGGTGACTTGGTGGACCTTGTCCTATAGAATAGAACTTCCTGGTTCTAGTTGTTAAAGAGAACTTTAGGCCACATTTAGCTATAGGCTCAACTCCACACTCCCAAGGACTCGGTCTCCATGAGAAATGGCAGGCCCCACTAGACCTGGAGCATGAGGAAGTCAGGTGAAGATTTTCCTGGAGAAGTTGTACTTTACACCTTCCAAATCCCCAAATGACCAGCAAGTTATGATGAGGGTTTTTTGATTGTGAATAATCCTTTTATTGGGTTATATTTAAGCTGTCTGTGCCTCATGGGATTGCCAATGAATACATTGTCTCGCAAACCCCGGAGAACTCTCTTGTAAGGTAAAATAGAGCTCTTTCTTTAGTGGCAAATGTAAAAAAATCACCAGCCTCTGTTATTACTGCTTTACACATTATTAAATGCTTTAGGCTCCAAAGATTAAAATGTGGGAAGAGTAATAATGTTTTATTAAATAATAATTGCTTCAGGAGTGGTATTGTACCTTACAGCGTGGGGACGGACTTGTGCTGCTGAAGCAGGCAGAAAATAATTACTTAGAATGCCAAAAGGGAAAAGTCACTGGTAGAGTTCACCTGTCTCAGATGAAGATTATCACCCCACTTGATGAACATCTTAGGAGCAGACCAAACGTAAAGGAATTAATATTGTACAGCCCTCATATCACCCATGGCAGCACATTTCAAAGAACTATTAATTATATCTCATCCTCAGGTTTTAGCATTTTCTTAACCAGAGTGAAAATTACAGCAGCATTTTATTCCATTTGAAGAATAAATTACTTCTAAGAGACTTGCCACTGCCTTACTAATCACCTTGATACACAGTGACTACCATGTGTTTTGCCTTCTTCATATCGTGCTGACTTACAGCGACCAGAGCACTCAGTCATTAATTTTCAACTGTGAGAGCCATTTATTTTTAAATAATGTAAAGATGTTTACTAAAGTGCCAGAGATTAGTTTCCCAGCAGAATGGATAATTATTTTAAAGGGGCCCCTATAACCCTAACCGGTTTGGCTCAGTGGATAGAGCGTCAGCCTGCGGACTCAAGGGTCCCAGGTTCGATTCCAGTCAAGGGCATGTACCTTGGTTGCAGGCACATCCCCAGTGGGGAGTGTGCAGGAGACAGCTGATCGATGCTTCTCTCTCATCGATGTTTCTAGCTCTCTATCCCTTCTCCCTTCCTCTCTGTAAAAAAAATCAATAAAATACATTTAAAAAAAAATAAAATAAAGGGGCCCCTATAAATGCTTAGTCTGCCATAAAAAAGCACTTCCCTTGTAAGATTTAAGCTTAGTGTAAACCTCATTTCTCTGATTATAGCTCATAAAATAATGAAATGAAATGTAATCCAACAACCTGAAGTTACAATTTAAGCCTAACAAATTTGTGGATCCTGGGAGAATACAGTGATCATCGAAGTTCATTTATTTAGCAAGAAAAATGCCATTGAACTATGTTTAGAGGTATATTTTTTAAAAGAGCTTTTTAAGTTACCCAGTTAAATTTTTGACTGTTATTTAATGTAGCAAACATGAAAAATAATATCCACCAATCATTTAATCCAAGTAAAGTATTTGGTTTCCCATTCATCCTAGTTTTCATAATCTAGTCCAATTCTTTCTTCTTAGAAGGCAGTTTATGTTTTGAAGTTTGCTGAGAAACTAAAAATTTGTATATTGGAGAGCAGAGAAGACACATGTTAAGCTAGTTGCAGCTGGGATACTGAAAATTCTAAGTTTAATTCACGTGGAGAAAGTTCTTCTATTACTCATTTTCTCTTTGTTTTGATCCAGCATTATCCCTCTGTCGCAGCCTTCCTTCCTCTCTCAAAACACACTGCGGGGTAACCATGGGAGTTGGGCTGCCAAAAAGCTTTTCTTTAAGAAAAATAGAAGCTACACATATAATGCTTTCAACAATAAAGATTTAAGTTTTTTTAGAGGGAGGAGGGAGGGAGGGAGGGAGGAAGGAAGGAAGGAAGGAAGGAAGGAGCTAAAAAGATGAGAGTTCTTTTTTAATAGTTCAAATTTTTTTCCACATTAAACATGACCTCACTCATCTTGTACCGTAGGCTTGCAGAGTTGGCCTCTGATGGCCAACTACATACAGCGATGCTCAAATGAAACCTCATTCAGGTTTCTGGGTTCATGGCTAGCATTACATTTTTTAGAAAATAAATCTTACCTATTTGAAAGCCTAGTTCTAAGGTAAAGATCTCTGAAAATGTGCTATACTTTCCCCTATCTTAGTAAACAGAAAATATCTAATGCTGTTAGATGAGGTTGACTCTGCAGATCATGGGAAAAGTGGGAGATTGTTTACCTTGTTGCAAACACAGATTTGAGTTTCAGGGAGATGGGTTTCAGTTCCCCTCCCACCACCTTAGGTAGTTATCTCTAAACTGCATGGGTAGGTTTCTTTGCCCGGGGGGGTGGGGGGGAATAATTAAAAAAGTTTTAAACTTCGATTGTGGTGTTGGTTGCACAATTCTATGAATATAGTAAAACTATGTACACTTTAAATGGGTGAATTTTATATGTGAATTATATCTCAAAAATGTTTTTAAAAATTAAATGAGCTAATTAAAGCATATAAGGTGTTTAACTCAGTGAGTAGCACAGTGAGTGAACAATGAAGGCTTTTATTACTCATTTGCATTAGCACTTAGAGTCATATTAAAAAGAGCTTTAAATTATGTTGGATTTACCTAATGGTGTGGTCTGAGTTGTACTGACCTCTAGTGGCCAACCTTATTTAGCCTTTTCATCTTGCCCTTCACCTTCCAGACCAGGTTGATGAGCAGCATTCCTAGTGTTATCCATGCACTGAAGTCAGAGAGGGAAGTTAATTGGGAGGCACAAGTTAAGATCTCTCCTCTTCTATTCTCCCAGGCCTGGTTATGTTTAGGTTGTTGGTTCATTTAGAGATTCATGTTTGTGTTTTGTGTGGGGTAGGCCTCCGATATCATTTATTTTCCAAATGGATAGCCATCTAGCCTAACACAATTTATTTACTTATTTTTTACTTTATATAATTGTTTATCTTTCAGTTAGAGTTGACATACAATATTATATTACTTTCAACCCAATAATTAGACATTATTTAACTTAGTGATCATTATGACCAATAATCTCGTAACCATCTGACACCATATACAGTTATTAGAATATTTTTACTATATTTCCTACGCTGTAAGTTACATCCCCATGACTATTGTGTAACTATCAATTTGTACTTTTTTTTCTAAATGTTTTTTTTTAGAGAGAGGAAGGAAGAGAGAGAGACATCAATTTGTTGTTCCACTTATTTATGCATTTATTGGTGATTTTTTTTTATCCTCACCTGAGGATATGTTTTTATTGATTTTTAGAGAGAGAGAAAAAAACATGGATATAAGAGAGAGACATCAATTGGTTGCCTCCCATACAAGCCCTGACCAGGGATCAAACCCATAACCTAGATATATGCCCTGACCAGGAATCGAACGTACAACTTTCCAAAGCACAGATGACACTCAACCAACTGAGCCACCAGGCCAGGACTCATTGGTTGATTCTAATGTGTGCCCTGGCACTGGAACCCTGGGCTCAGGGGCCTGGTGTGGGGCTGGGACCCCACTCCCCAGGGAGGACCTCTGTAGTGGCAATATCCTCCCAATTCTTATCTGCTACATGTGGGTGTAGGTTCAGCCCCTTCCACATCTAGACCCCTCCTACCAAATTCAAATTAAGTGGCTTCTTTGTATTATTAGTTATAGGATTTCTATAGATTTCAGGTGGTTCTGAAGTTGATTGTTCCGTAGTTTAGTTGTAATTTTGATGTGGTTGTGGGAGGATGCGAGTACCGCATATACCTACACCGCCATTTTGACCGAATGTTAGCCTAATACAATTTATTGAGTAGTCATTCCTTTTTTCCACAGACATAAATCAGGGGGGTGGGGAATGAAAAACATACATATGCACACATAATAAATTATGTAGATAATTACTTTTATTTTTTAAGATTTTTAAATTGATTTTTAGAATGAGAGGAAGGGAAAGGGAGAGAGAAAAACATTGATGCAAGAGCAAAACATGGACTGACTGCCTCCTGCATGTCCCCACAGATGATTGAGCCCAAAACCTGGGCACATGTCCTGACCAGGAATCATACCAACAACCTTCCAGTGCTTGGGATGATGCCCAACCAACTGAGCCACATTGGCCAGGGCATAAATAATTGTTTTTTTAAAAGCCCCTCCAGACTTAAAATATGTCACAGTTTCTTTCTGTAATCCCTGAAATTCCCATGATGCTCATTTGTTTAGGGGAAAGTGCTGAGTGGCCCCTAAGAAAATGTCAGTGTTACTTTGTAAACTCATATAATAAACTGCCATTAGCCATTACTGTCTTGACCTAAATTGGTATTTCAGTTTACCTACCTTGAGAGAATGCAGCATGCCTCCACAGTTGCATTTTGGTTGAAAGAGCAGGTGAGATGTAGAAAAGATCTGAGCAGAGGTGCTGCAGGGTGGAAATGGAGAAGGTGGACTATTATCCACAGTGCAGTCTGATCAACTGGGTACATCATGGCCAGGGAGGGGCAGAGGAATAGAAGCGTGGGGATACCCCTGAGGGGACAAGAGTTGGGTTGAAGAGACAAAAAAGGCACAAAAAAATGTGCCTACATTTATTTCGCAGGTTTGCCAGTATTGAAGAGTTTTAAAATTGTAACTCCAAATAATATCCTTTAATCAGATTTGATGATGATGAACGGATTATTAGCCTGTCAGTTTATGTAAAGAAACTAAGAATAACAACTGCTTATTAATAAGAAAAGGTCACTCTTTAGCTTTCTCCTCTCCTCTAGCCAATCTATGGCAGTTGGCTAGATGGTTAGAGAATATTGAATTCTCTTTGCTAACTTACTTAGAATTGTATTGAATAAACCATTCAGATTAAATAGAAAATCTAGGCCAAGCATTGGAGGTAGTGTTAGCTTTTAAATTAGAGAAAGCATTCAGTTAAGTGGCACTAAATGACGTAGATTTTACTTTTGTGAATTATACTTTTGTAAAAGTCATTAGCTCTTTTCATTAAAGGGAAAGCATATCAATTGCAGAACTTCTTTTCCCATCTTAATGAAGATACAACTTTTAAGCCTCTGTTCTTAAGATTTAGTCCTGTTCACAGTTTTAGGAAAAAGCTACTCCAGATAGGAAAAGAGATAAAAAAAAACAAAAACAAAAAAAACAAAAAAAAAACACTACTTCAGGGTAGAATAGGTCCTAGTGAAAAAAATTTTTTAAGTTCAGTAATTCCATTTTGTTTTACTCTCATTGTTAAAAAATGTTGGAGGATATTATAACTGAGAGTTATTTGCTGTTCTCCCTGGGCAAGGACACATGCCTTTGCAACTTGATATTGATTCTCTTATTTGGCTCAACTGTATGTTTTGCATCTTGTACTCATATGTCAAGAGGACGCTAGTGAGGGAGGAAAAATTGGTCTCAGAGTGAATGTAAATCCAGCATTCATCCTGAATACTTCACTCACAGCCCTGTTTTCCCCCAAAGGATCCAAGCCACACTCAGAAGCCTGTTGACAGTAGTGCTCCTCATGCTGTCATTCTTCATGATTTTCCAGCAGGTAAGGACATAAATAATAAAGTGGTAGAGCCCTTAGAATCCAGGAGCAGGCATCCTCCTTAGGTTAATCTCTGAGGGCCAGCCTTCTTCATTCTCTGCACAACAGAATCCTAGACTGGAGAGGTCATCTTGTCAATCACCCACCTTCAGGAATGGTCAATTGTACCCAACCGTTCCAGAAAGCTTAGCTGGATACCCTTGCTTTTGAAACTCCCCATGAGAGAGAAAGAGAGGGTGTTTCCCTACACATGAACAAACAGCAAAATACCTACCAGTTGCAAACTTTTTAACTCTTTCAGAATAGTAGGTACCAATTAATAATTATAATGAAATTATTTCAAATTTAATAAATGTTCTTTTCTCCTAAGAATTGTAAAACCTACACACATAGCTCAGCTATTACTTATGAGATGAAAATATAATTTTCAAATCAACTTTTAAATATCTTTTATATCCAAGACTACAGATAAACTCCTGATTTATTTATAAGTTTACATACTATCTACTTGATAGATTTTTATTTTAGTGTGAGTAAATTTACTTTCAAAAGAGCTGTAGTATTCCCTTAGTTTAGCTGTTCTCAACCTGTGGGTCGCAACCCCTTTGGCGGTCGAATGACCCTTTCACAGGGGTCGCCTAAGACCATCCTGCATATCAGATATTTACATTACGATTCATAACAGTAGCAACATTACAGTTATGAAGTAGCAACGAAAATAATTTTATGGTTGGGTCACAACATGAGGAACTGTATTTAAAGGACCAGAAGGTTGAGAACCACTGCTTAGTTAATATTTTGAGATTGCAATGATTTTTAAGCATGATTGAGAATAAGAATATTTTACATCTATAAAACCCTTTCATAGTTCAATATGAATTCAGCAAAAGGTTTATATTGACACAGTAGGAATCATTAGCCAGCGCAATGTTTGGGGGTTTTTTTGTTGTTTTTTAACCATTTCCCATCAGTCAATGCATAATAAATGTATTTAATTAGATCTTAAAAGAGGAAGCTCATAACAGCAATATAAAAAAAAGATATTTTTAAGTCAATTCAATTAGTATAATCTGTTCTCAGAGTCAGTAGAACATACTGCCTCGGTGGACAGAAATAAATACTTTGTGCTCTCCTTTAATCAAATCTGCATGCAACCAGAATAATTTATCATACATAATTATAATTTTATTTTATAGAGCAAGTTGGTGATTTGAATCTCACTTCTGGAGAAATTGTTTATCTTCTGGAAAAAATAGATACAGATTGGTACAGAGGGAAATGTAGAAACCAGACTGGGGTATTTCCTGCCAACCATGTCAAAGTAATTGTAAGTGGGTCATGATTGTTTTAATTGGTCATATGTTCAGTGGGTTCTGTGTAACGTGCATTATGGGAAAAGTAATCGGAAGCTTCAATTCTTGGGTTCTAGTTCTCTCTCTTCCATTGATTCATTTGGTGTTTGGAAAATTCAAAAAATAAAAGTTTTTTCAACTAGATAATGCTTAATTGTTAATATATTATGGGGGTCTAGAACTTAATTTCTAAATGCTATCTGAAATCCTAAGGTGAAAAAACACTATAGGTCAACTGGTGATCAGCTATTCTTGGAGGGTTGTTGAGCACTTAAGAATATATGTTAATTATTTGAAAAATTTAGTAAACAAGACTCAAAAGGTACAAGATTGTTCTGAAGGAATGTTCTCTGAGCTTACGGTACCACTTTTCCTTTTCTTTGAAGTACATTTTGTTTTTGGTTTCTTTCATTCTTTCATTCCATTTATTTCCATCATTTAGAAAAATAGACTTGGGAATACTAAAGCACTTACACAGGAGCTTGTGGTCAATTAATGGTTTTTCACATGATAATTTAAAATCAGATTGGGAAGAATTATATTAAATTGTCAGCATTTTATACTTCTTCACAGCCTAACTTGTAAAAGCAGACCTGTATGGTCGAGCCCAGGTGCCAAGCCCAGGTGACTGTGAAACATGGGGATAAAATATAAAAACTACCACTTGCCTTTGCAACTAAAAGAAGAGTACGTATGACTCAGTCTCTGATATAACTTACTGATACTGGAAAATATCAATAAAGTAGCTTAAATAGTTGATCATTAACAGCTATGAAAGGGGGAGGGGGGCAAATTTACACATATATATATATCAGAGAACCTGTGTTTTTCTAATATAAATGAGTTTGAGTCTCTTGGATTACAAAATGTGGGCTTTAAAAATTGTCCAATATAAATATGCCCTGATACTTTGGAAAAATCTATCCACATTCACTGAATTAATATTAAGAACAATGTTAGTTTTAGCACCCTTCCTTATTTTTCTCCTACCCAATGTAACAGTATTTTTAAAGCACAGTTACGTCACTGAAATAAATTACACTGAATCTGCCACATTATTGATATAAGTATTATTTCTAAGCCTGCAAGTTGAAAAAATTATTTTGAAATTTTGAGCTTTTAGAATTCATTAAGAAGGGCACTGATTTATTTAATATAGATCTCAAAGACTGAATATACTTTAGTCAAAAATTTTTATTACAACCTAGCTTCATTGAGCTTTGTAAGTGAGGTATTTTATAACGTGCTTGCCACTAGGTAGATGCCCACTGAGTACTAATTCCTTCCCTATTTACATTGGTGGAAAAAAATATCCCAGAGTGATGAAAATGGAGAGAATCCACAAGTTTGATTAAAAGGTTTTATTTTGGGGTCAGGAAAGTATTGCAGAATTCTACCAACACTTTGAATAGGCATGGCAGTGGTGCCAAATGCCTGATGCCTAGTCTCTATCTTAAGTCCTCCTCATCTGAAGTTTCCAACTTAGGGGATATGGGATAGAGAAAACGCAGTCAGGGGTAGAATGATATTAATGTGCTTATTCCAGGAAATAAGAAATGGATTGGTTGGCTATTCAAGGAAGGCTGCCTCACAAGTTATGTGTGTGTGTTTTTAAAACCAAATTCTGGATTTCTTACCTTTGGCACCTGTGATACCACTTAATCAGTTAAACACCTGTCTAAACTTGTTAATTTCAATCATGTATTTTCTAATTATCTAGCCTTAAATTCATCTTATTAAAATCTGAAAAAAATACAATGGTTGCCTTGATTTGTCTTTACCAGATTGATGTTCCAGGAGGAGGAAATGGGAAAAGAGAATCAGTTTCATCTCATTGTGTTAATAAGTAAGTTTTATTTGTGTTCTTTTGCACAAAATGCAAAGGAGGTGACCAATCCTATATAATAAAAGCCTAATATGCAAATCAACTGAACGGCCGAATGACCAGTCGCTATGATGCGCATTGACCACCAGGAGGCAGACACTGAATGCAGGAGCTGCCCCCTGGTGGTCAGTGCACTCCCACAGTGGGAGCACCACTCGGCTGATGGGGCTGAGTGACTCAGAGGGCAGGTCCACAGCCGCTCAGCTGACCAGGATGAGCAGCGCTCCCATAGCAGGCCCATCCCCACACAAATCCCATGCACCGGGCCTCTAGTTATATCATAATTACCAAGCTTAAACACTTCAGATGTGTGATTATTTTTTCCCAGTGTGTCTTTTGATTTATGAGGAAAAGTGTACTTGTTTAAAAGCCATAGTGGATTAAAATGCTAATGAAAATTCAACGTGCTGGTACAAGCTGACCTAAGCAACTCCTCATATCAATACAGGACATGTAGACAGCACAAGGAATCCACCTTGCTATTTCCCACTGCCTCGCTATGGCTTAAACAGAGACACTTTGTCATCCAGTGTAATGTATTTGGGTCAGCTGGTATTTATCTAACACATTTTTAGAAGGTTCAAAATTATTGTCATAGAAAATATTTAACCTTATAGAAATATGAACCCTACAAAAACAGCTAGACATTTTGTATTGTTTTGTTTTTAAGAGGAACTAGAAGAAACTAAAGGAAGAGTTAAGTTGGAGGGGTCTTCCTTTATGTCTGAAGAATTAATGATCTTTCTATGCATCATTGTAACTTTTTTTTTAAAATATATTTTATTGATTTTTTACAGTGAGGAAGGGAGAGAGATAGAGAGCTAGAAACATCGATGAGAGGGAAACATCGATCAGCTGCCTCCTGCACACCTCCCACTGGGGATGTGCCCGCAACCAAGGTACATGCCCTTGACCGGAATCGAACCTGGGACCTTTCAGTCCGCAGGCTGACGCTCTATCCACTGAGCCAAACCGGTTTCGGCCATTGTAACTTTTTTGTATGATTTAAAACACTGCCACAGTGCAACTTTATGTTCCAGCTAAATGAGCAAAATAATAGACTTCACTACTTGCTGAAGACTGTAAACCTGTCTTTGAATAGGTCAGACATACGTAGATGCTCCCTGAGGGCTTTAGAAAATAAATGCAAAGGTTACCACAAATAAGAAAACTGATGCCACAATAGTGGAATTCTATTTCAGGTTCAATTTTTCCTCCTATTTTTAAGCTGTGTTTAATGTGTCAGCAGGTTGGATCTGAAGTGGGCTCTCACAGCCCTCAGTCCATTGACCTGACTTAAATCAGAATCTGATTGGAGACTGTACCAACCTTTTCTTTTCAGGCATTCGCATCTCCTTAGCCTGTTGCTATTGAAACTTCCTTTCTAACACCTCAAATGGAAGGTTTGATATTAAATCATGCCTTCTAGTAACACAGTTTTATCTCTTATTTTCGGTCAGAATTGCCAATCATTTAAGGATTGATCTAATTCTCAGAAATTAAGCCTTTTTAAAGGAGATACAAAAATCATTTTTAAAACAACAGTGTTAGGTAAAAGATTAAGTATTATAAGATAATATGCCGAGTTTCTGTTTTATCCGAACCTTCTAATTTTGAAGATCATTCATCTATGTATACAACTCATGATTGAGTCAACATTTATTGAGTGAGTATTGAGTCTGCCCAGCTGATGCCTGTTGCATTCTGTCATGGAAGTTTGATGTCTTGCCCTGAGATTCTTAGGGTTAGCACTTCTAAACTCAGTGCATTTATAACTGAGAGAGTTCAGACTGAACCATGGATTACTGTGGCCCAAGAATACAAAGATGTAGAGACTGGTCATGAGACATGGCAGTGCAAACTGACCACCAGCTTATGGAATTCTGCATATCTTTGTGACATTGACTAGCCTTTCTAGGTGAACAGGTTCATATCTGAAAAAGATTTATTTGTGGAAAAGTTTAAATTATGTCTAGTATACCATATTCCATAGTAAACACAGAATATTTATTGAAAGACTGAATGAAGGTTTTAAAGCATTTTGAAAAGTAGTACTCTCTAGTTTAACCCACAAATGTACTCTTTGTTCAGAGGTCCAAGATGTGGTGCTCAGTTTGAATATATTGGAGACCAGAAGGATGTGCTAAGTTTCTTGGAGGGAGAAAGTATTGTTCCTAATGAGTATGTGAATGAAGAATGGGCTGGAGGAGAACCTCGAGGCAGAACTAGGATTTCCCCCCTTAACCTTGTGGAACTCGTTGAGGATCATCCCACCTCTGGTACAAATGTTTTCAGTGAGTATAGAGAGTATCGTTTTTATTATATTCTGTCTTAATTGAAATAAACTAAATAATAGGATAGTACTTGAGCTGCATAATAATCCATATTGCCATATTTTTTAAGATAGAAGGAGAAATTATTTAAAAATGGTCATTTGTGTGGGATAGCTCTTATTGAAGTAATCTCTCAGAGAGCTGGTGTTGGTATTTTAGGTAAATAGCAATAGCCTCATATCAGAAATGGCTTATGGATAATCATAGACCTTTAAACAGAAATGGGCTAGAGAGTATAACTAATGGTATCTTCCTTCGCTGTACAAAAAAGGGAAAAAGCCCAGAGAAGACAGTGCCTGGTCAGAATTACGAAGAGGCTGGTCTGCAACCCCAGACTTTTCACTCTCCCCTAAGGTTTTTCTCCAATACTATATGGTCTTTACATGTGAAGTTTTGACTTTTTTTTAACATAGGCACAAAGGTACCACTGAAGACCAAAAAAGAAGATTCTGGAGCAAATTCTCAGGTAGGCTGCTTGGATAGATAACTGTAATGAAAGCCAGGTTAAAACTCTGGGAAGGATATTAAAATTGTAATTATCAGGAGAGAATGTCATAAAAGCATTTTTCAATTCATATAGTAAATGTTTGAAATAAATACAGGGGTGAGCAAAAGTAGATTTATATTGTGAGTACACAAAACACAAAATTTATTCTTGTATCATTATTTATTAACTAGAGGCCCAGTGCACGAATTTTTAAATTTGGGCTCCGGGGGGGGGGGGGGGGGGGGCTCCCCCAGCCTGGCCTTTGCCCTCTCACAGTGTGGGAGCCCCACGATCAATCGCCCCAAAGAGGTAGGCCCTGCTCACCCATCCAGGGCTCCTCAATGGATTGCCCCAAAGAGGTAGGCCGGAGCCACAGGACCCGCCTCCGCGCTGCGCACACAGCGTCAAGCCCCCGCCCAACCACACGCGCACACAGCCCCACCCACCCACGCGCACCCGCTACACATGCAGCCTCCTGGTGATTGCTCACTACGGCGTGAGGGCATCACAGCATGAGGGCGTGACGACCACATAGGCTTTTATTAATAGGATTATTATATTATTTGTATTACAACTGTAAACCCACTTTTGCCCACCTCTGTGGGCAAATGGTTAACATCTTTATTGCATATAGAGCTCATACAAATGGATTAGAAAGAAATGCAAACCCTGATAGAAAATGGGGGGAAAGACATGATTAGAGAATAGAAGAGATAAAGAGATAGCATAAGTGGCCGGTATTAAAAAATATTTGACCCTACTAATAATCAAAATGCCTTATAAAGCAACGATGAAATACCATTTAACTTATCTAGTTAACAAAGATTCAATACAACTCAACACTAAACAAGTAATTATTTGAGTATTAAAAACAAGAAAGTACAGCCCAGCTGGTGTGGCTCAGTGGTTGAGCATCAACCTATGAACCAGGAGGTCACTGGTTCAGTTCCAAGTTAGGACACGTGCCCCAGCTTGCGGGCTGTATCCCCAGTTGGGGGCATGTAAGAGTCAGCCAGTCAATGATTCTCATCATTGATGTTTCTATCTCTCTCTCCCTCTCCAAAATCAATAAAAATATATTTTTTAAAAAAACAAGAAGGTAAAAATGATTATTTTTATTTTTTTTACCCTCCAAATAGGGTAAAAAAGAGAAGGTTTTAGTCACAAAGATAGTCATTGTGGTTTTATTATCATAGGAAAAAAATTGGAACCAACCTAAATATGATCATTAATGGTAGAATGTTCTGAGGCTATGAAAAACTAGATTTATAAAATAAATGTAATGGGAAGAAAATGTTATAGGGAATTGAATATATAGCATACAAAGACTACAAGGAAATATATTTATCAACATTCATATTTCCCTAAGAGGTAATATTATGGGTGGGTAGGTTTTTTTTCCCTGCTTCTTCATACATTTCTGAACTTACCTAATATTTAGGAGCATTTGTATTATTTTTTAATGGGAAAGAGAAAAAACGAGTAAAATTTTTACATACTAGCCTTGGATGGGTAGGGGTAGCTCAGTTGGTTGTTTCTTGAACATAGGGCTCCCATCCTTACTTAGTAGAGATGCCTCTTCACAGAGCAGAACCTTCCTCTACTGTATTTGGGGTAAAAGCATTCTTGCTGGTACATTCGACCATACTATCCCACCATATTTGGGTGGTTATTCTGCCAGCTTTAGGGCTAACTACGCCTCATGAAATTAATGGTGAATTAATGAAGTCTTGTGCCATGGAATTTGATAGCTTCTGAATCAAGTATAGACCTAGGAACTAACAGACTGCCCATTCTGAGCCTTCATAATTTAAAGAGTTTCACTGGAAATTGTATGTTTTCCAGAATTCTTTCATAGTGTCATAAATACTATATATGAATAGTGTATGCTTTTACCTAATTTTTAAGATAGAACTAATGTCATAGATCATAATTAGAAAAAAGTTTTTTCTTAAGTATTTTTTTAATTAAATCTTTACTGTTCAGATTATTATAGTTGTTCCTCTTTTTTCCTCCCATA